AGCAAACAGCCTGCTTTACTTTCATTTTCGTTTTCAGCATAGCTTGATTAGCACAAGGAAAAAAATATCTGCTCCAGCAATTTACCTCTTTGCAGCAAACAGCAGAGCCCTGCGCAAAACAGCTGTGAGAGCAAATTAGCTGAGAGTTGGGAGGCCGATCCAATCAACTTGTGCTAATTAGGTTGTGCTGAAGCTGAAAGGAGCGTTTTTTCTTGCTGTTTGTTTGCAAGGAGGTAATTGCTGCGAGGCAAAGGGTGGGGGCCAGTGGGTGGGCGGGGCTACATTCGATGTATAAGATGCACCTAAATTTTCACCCCCTTTTAGGGGGGAAAAAGGTGCATCTTATACTCCGAAAAATACGGTAGGTAATATCCTTCTAACACTTTTCTTTCATTTGTCATTTCTGTAGTCTAATTCTCTATCTACAATTGCATTGAAATCACCAATTATGCACAAATTATCGCATTCTAGGTCTCTAATCATGTTATACAGTTTCTTATAAAATAGTTTTTGGCCCTCATTTGGCATGTATATTCCAACTAACATCAGTTTTTTCCCATCCACAGTTAATTCTATTATCAATATTCTGCCTTCTTCATTTTTATACATTTGTTTGGCCAAAATACCCTCTTTTACACACATTACAATTCCCCCTTTCTTCTGTTCTTCCCATTCTCTTTTTCCTTGATTTGGGATTCCCCCCTATTTGGTGACTGTCCTCCTAGTTCTCCTTCTTCCTTTCTTTCTCTTTCTTCCAATTCAACCTCACTACCAAAATTTTGTCTATAAAACTCTTCTACTTTGTCAACCATGTCCAATCTCTACCTTCTTTCTCCCCAAGATACCATAATTCTTTCCAGAGTCAGCCACTAAACATTTACGTTTTTCCTTGTTAGTTTTGCTGTAAGCATTTGGTAGGGTCATCTTAAGTCTCTTACCCTTCTCAGGACTTGTTTAACCACCACAAGCTGTCTTCCTCGTAACTCTAGTGGATCTTCTCTGGTCCTATGAAGAATCTCATCATGGATCAATTTTTTAACAAATCTAATATGCACTTCTCTAGGTAAATTATATCTATGTGCGTAATTCGTGTGGATTCTGTAAATTTCGTCCATTTCATTAATTATTTCTTCCTTCCCAATTCCTAATGCTCCTGCCAATAGATCCGCCATCATCTCTGAAAGGTCCTCATTCTTTTCTTCCCTCACGTTCTGAAATCGTAGAAAATGGGCGGCCTTATCCAATTTCAATTGGATTATTGTCTGTTCGAGATCTCTATTGGCTTGAATTAATTTTTCTTCCATCTCCTTCACTTTTTTCCCTCCCTTCCCATTCTATCTTCCATCTCCTGTAATATTTGTTCAGTTTTTAGAATTTGTTGTTGGAAGCATTCAAATTTCTCATCCATCGATCTTATCTTTTCTTTCATTTCTCCCGTGTCACTCCTTACTTCTCCTATCTCTCGTTTCAAATCCTCCTGGTTCTTTAACATAACCTTCTGCATTGTTTGTAGCATCTGTTGGAGATTCTTGAATGAGTTTGATCTCTCTCTCTCTCTGTTGCATTCCTTCAATAGATCTTTGCCCTGCTGGACTTAGTTCCATTGTTGTAGTTTGAGCTCCTTGCCTCCCTCCTGTACCAATTCTTGTCAGATTGGAGATACTTGTTATCTTTAATACCGCTTTAAATTGACTTCCCCACTTTCTTATATTTCTCTTAGTTTCCTCCAGCACCCTTCAACTATCACTCTCTCAACTAGTTAATTCTCAATGCTTAATTTTGCAGCTTTCACTCTCCATTTTATATTTTTAAATGTTTCTTATTTATTCTTTCACTTCTTTTCTTGATCTTTCCTCCCCAACTACAGTCTGCAAACCTTCCCCTTAGTCAACAATTATTTAATAACAAAATCTATAATTGAATCACTTAATAATATCAATAATTAATGCAGTAGGTGGTGAAGCTAATAAAATAGTAGTCCAAAGATTGCATAGAAAAAACAATAATTCGAGAGATGATTCCCTCTTAAAAGTGTTCCACTACGACTATTTCATTAATTTTTTTCACATCCAAATGTACTCCTTAAGTTTCCTCGATTTATAAGTCAATTATTGGCATACCATCCAAAATAGGTCTTGTTTTCCTTTAGATTGCCTCTTCTTACTTAAATTGTCTCCAGTTTTTTCCTTGGCCAGTAGATGTCTCTAGCTCTCTATTATCCTAGTTGACAGTCTTTCTTCAAAATGCCTGTGTTCTCCTATTAATCAGCACTACAGAGCCTTGGTACTACAGTGGTTTAAAGCACCCTGTTATTAACACAGCTGCCTGCAATTTACTGCTGGTTCGAATCTCTCCAAGGCTCAAGGTTGACTCAGCCTTCCATCCTTTCTAAGGTAGGTTAAATGAGGACCCAGTTTGTGGGGGCAATAAGCTGACTTCGTATAAATATACAAAAGTATGAAGGCTATTGCTTATTGCTTAACGCACTGTAAGCCGCCCTGAGTCTCCGGAGAAGGGCGGCATATAAATCAAATTAAATAAAAATAAATAAATAAATAAATAACTTTTGCTCACAAACTAAATTGTCTACTTAAATCAGCAATAATGGCAAGTTCTCCCACCCCCCCTTTTTTTATTTGATTTATATGCCGCCCTTCTCCGGAGACTCAGGGCAGCTTACAGTGCGTTAAGCAATAGCCTTCATACTTTCGTATATTTATACAAAGTCAGCTTATTGCCCCCACAATCTGGGTCCTCAATTTACCTACCTTTGAAAGGATGGAAGGCTGAGTCAACCTTGAGCCTGGTGAGATTTGAACTTGCAGTAATTGCAGGAGCTGATGTTAATAACAGGGCTTTAGTTTGCTGCGCTACCAGGGCTCTTTTTCCTCTTTCCCCTCACGCCACCAGTGATATCTATCGTGTTGAAGTGGTCTCTTTTTTTTTTTTGCCCCCACTTGCCATTCGTCACTTTACTACGGAGGAAATGTCCTCCTTCCTTGGGCCTCCTTCTGACTCTTCCCTCTTTGCAATCCCCTGAGAAGATCTTCACCTTGGGTCACTCACAGAGGGCTGCCAAGATCACTTTCGCCCAGGTCCATCTCTCTGTTGTCCAGCTATTCCACCGCTAATGTTGTCCAGCTGCCTGTTGTTGTTTCTTCACGGCCACCATTATGGGCCGCCTTTCTTCCCCCGTTCGACTTCTTCAAGGCTTTCCTGACATCCGCACTCTCAACTGCCACCAAGAGCTGCTCTGCAGGGCGCCCCTTTCTTCCGATTCCCCTCCAAGGAATCTGGGACTCTGAAGAATCTGCTAATCGGATGGAAAAAGCTGTGTATTTGACTCTCTTAAACGGAGCGCCATTCTGCACAGCTTTCCCTCTTGACAGCTGGCCCTGCCCCCCCCCCCACTTCTGCTTCATAGACTATGCTAAAGCCTTTGATTGTGTGGATCACAACAAAATGTGGCAAGTTCTTAAAGTGATGGGAGTACCAAACCATCTTATTTGTCTCTTGAGAAACCTATATGCAGGTCAAGAAGCAACAGTGAGAACTGGACACAGAACCACCGATTGGTTCAAAATTGAGAGAGGAGTCCGGCAAGGCTGTATACTGTTGCCCTGCCTATTTAACTTATATGCAGAGTCCTTCATGAGAAAGGCGTAGCTAGATGAATCAGAAGTTGGAATTAAGATGGCCAGGAGAAATATCAACAACCTCAGATATGCAGATGATACCACTCTAATGGCAGAAAGTGAAGAGGAACTAAAGAGCCTCTTGATGCGGGTGAAGGAGGAGAGTGCAAAAGTTGGCTTGAAACTCAACATTAAGAAAACTAAGATCATGGCACCCGGCCCTCTCAATTCCTGGCAAATAGATGGGGAAGAAATGGAGGTAGTGACAGATTTTATTTTCCTGGGCTCCAAGATCACAGCAGATGGGAACTACAGCCAAGAAATTAAAAGACGCTTTTCTCCTGGGAAGGAAAGCCATGGCAAAGCTAGATAGCTTACTCCCTTGGACTGCAAGGGGATCCAAACGGTCAGTCCTAGAGGAGATCAACCCTGACTGCTCTTTAGAAGGCCAGATCCTGAAGATGAAACTCAAATACTTTGGCCACCTAATGAGAAGGAAGGACTCCCTGGAGAAGAGTCTCATGCTGGGAAAAATTGAGGGCAAAAGAAGAAGAAGGGGACGGCAGAGAACGAGGTGGCTGGATGGAGTCACTGAAGCAGTCGGCGTGACCTTAAATGGACTCCAGAGGATGGTAGAGGACAGGAAGCCCTGGAGAAACGTTGTCCATGGAGTCACGATGAGTCAGACGTGACTTCACAACTAACAACAACAAATCCAGACTATGGTTTTGAAAGAGAAATATATAAGCAGAAGTTATGTTCCTTTGTATAATTATTAAAATATGCGCAGCCTGTCCTTACAAATCAGCAGGACTTTGCTTTGAAAAACAGTAAAACAAGTAATATTTTTTCATTGCAACAGGAAATTAAATGAACAGATATTTTAGGTGACATGTGTTTGAGATCTCAGAGGCAACAAAGATTCTATATAATCTTCCTATTGATGGGGAAAATATTTGGGATATTGCCGTTTTTACTTATATGCTTCCATTATTATTAACTTTTGTCTGAAATTGGGTTTTTACTCCTGTTAATTAAATCTGTATTGTCGAGTAACATAATATATCCATATGAAACATAGATAATGGCATCATCTTTATGGTTCTTATGTTTTGTAAAGAAAAGAGGGGAAAATATCATCTATTTCTTATTATAGAATTTGTAATTTTAATCTTATCTGCCTTTTTCTTAAATTTGTTCTCTAACTCAGCTGTTTTGAATGGGATTCAAGTACCTCCAGAGTTTTATATCTATTCCAGTAATGATCCAAGCTGGAGTCAAGGAAACAAGCTGTGTTTTGAACCCCAAATTTCAGTCCTGATTTGAAACTAAAGCTAGAAACATAGTAAAACAGACACAACTTACCAGCTCCTAAGAGAACGAGTGATAACCACAAGCTGAGTATGGTCTTGTAGGACATGTCGGTGGCTGCTGTTTTAAGAAGAAGTGAAGAGAAATCTAGATAAACTTCTGCTAAATATACAAGGACGGCCCCTTTGGTTGGAGAAACATCACAGCTGCAAAATTGTGCAGCCCTCTTATTACTATGCTTGCAATTTGTTTTGAGCAATTCATTTATTTATTCAGTTGATAGAAGGGAATATTACTCTCATATTCTGGGCAGCTCACAAAATCAGACCATAAACAATACCTTCTAGAACAGTGGTTCTCAACCTTCCTAATGCCGCGACCCTTTAATACAGTTCCTCATGTTGTGGTGACCCCCAACCATAAAATTATTTTCGTTGCTACTTCATAACTGTAATTTTTTATTATCAGTTCTGTGGGCGTGGTTTACTTTGTGGGCGTGGCTTGGAGGTCATGTGACTGGGTGGGCATGGCTATGTGTATAGGGACTACTCAGAGGGCAGAAAAAAGTCATTTCTGACAGGTCCTCACACTTTTGACTGGTCCTCACACTTATGCCCATCCTCACATTTATGCCCGTGCAGCATTCTTAACAACCATGTCACTCATTTCACAACTGCTTCTCTTCACCATGGTGATAAGATAGGGCAAAAAAGGATAGTGAGGATAGTCATAAGTTCGGGGACTGGTCAAAAGTGCGAGGACCAGTCAAAAATCACTTTTTCAGCCCTCTGAGTAGTCCATGTGCACAAAAGGACTACCCAGAGGGCTGAAAAAAGTGATTTCTGATAGGTCCTTGCACTTTTGACCGGTCTTCGCACTTATGACTGGTCACATTTATGCCCATTGTAGCATTCTTAACAACCGTATCACGGGCTTCCGGCGGCTCCATAGGACGTTGAGGACGTTCCCTGGGTGAGCGCTAGCCCTGCGACTTTGTTAGCCGCTAAAACAGCAAAAAATCAGCTGTCTAGCGGCGAAGAACCTTCCCCCCCGGGAGAAGAGGGGGAAGCGAGCAGCCAGGTGCAGGGTAGAGCTCCATAAGAGCCCTAGAATTAATTCTGGGGCTCGAAAGTTGTGAGCTCCCCAAGAACCTGGGAAAGCTCCAAAGCCGGGATGCCTCTGTCAGAAGGCAGAGCAAAACGCCACGTCCGCCCCTGCTTCCAATTGATACAAAGAGAAAATTGAAGCAGGCAGAACAAAGACAGGAGACTACATAATTGCAAGTACTTATACTTTAATTCCTTTGAACATCGTTTCTTTTCGAGCCTCTAAGAGTGGAGCTGGAGTGGAAAGGGAGGGGAAGATGGCGCTGGCTTGTTAAGACAAAGAGACGAAAGTGAAAGTTAAGAAGAAAGTTGTTACAGGCTTGTTAACTCATTAATGCCTATCAGTTAACAACTCCGCTTAAAACTTTTTGGATTTAACCTTATATCTTGGACTTTGGGAATCAAAATTTAAAGATTTTAAAGATTTTCTGATTTTTCCTCGCTGGCTATAAGAACTGTTTCTGAGACTGTGTGATTTTAAAATGGCTTCAAAGCAGACAAAATTGGTGCTGCCTAAAGCAGGGAGTGCGGGAAGTTCCCCAGCTCAAACTAGCAGGTTACAAACTTTATTGCCTCCGGCAGATACACAAGCTCAATTACAACCACAATTACAACCACAAGCACAAATGTTAACACTTGAGATGTTTCAGGAAGCCATGAAAGAAATTAAAGAAGGTTTTAAAGAGGACATTGCATTTGCATTTAAAGGAGTCTCAGAACAAATGGAAGAAATGAAGGACATAATTAAGACAAGAAATCAACACATAAGGGAAGATATAGTTCTTGCACTCCAGGGACTGGCAAAACATGTTAGTCATGTAGAAGATAGAATTGATGAGGTTGTTCAAGCCAATGAGATTTTAGATGGTAAAGTTGAAGAATCACAAACTAGGATTGACAAAGCAGAAGCTGAAATGTTGTTGACACAATATAAGATGATGGAATTTGCTGTGAGAATAAGAGGCTTAAAAGAAAATCCTAAGGAAAATTTGAAAGAGATCTTTGAAGATGCTCTGGCACAGTTTATAGGAGTGCCCGGAGGTGAACTTGAATGGCAAATGGACCGGATCTATCATGTTAACTCATGGTTAGCTAGACAAAGGAAACTACCAAGAGAAGTTGTGATTTACTTTGTCACCAGAAGGATTAGAAATGAGATTTTACAAGCTGCCTATAAAAATAAGTTGCAAGTGGCAGGACAAGAAGTTGCAGTGTTTAAAGAAATACCACCCAAAATGCTGAAATCCAAGAAAGAGTATGCTTTTCTGGCAGATGAGCTGAGGAATTGACAGGTACAATACAGATGGGAAGTCCCAGTTGGATTATCGGTGGACTATGCAGGAGAGCGATATCGTCTCAATACAATATGCAAAGCAAGAGATTTTTATAGTAACATACTAAAGGCTGGACAACCACCAATGCCAGGAGGTAAAAAAGTAAGAGAGGCGACAGAGGGAAGGAAAGAGGATCTGCAGAAGCAATTGGAAGGCGGAGCTATGAGTATGCAGGAGGAAGTACTGCAACTTTCAAGTGCTGTCCAAGCATGGGATATAGTTGAAAAATAAGAAGAAGAAAGATCAAAGACAAACCAGAGCAGCTACTAAACGTAAAGTTGAAGAGTTAAAAAAGTTACAAGAGCAGGCTTTATCACAAGAAGTGAATACTGGTGCAGAAGCTGTGGGAGGGGCGAGACCCAAAAGAAAATTCCAAGAGGATTATCAAGCGATTCTCGCCAAGCTTCGAGAGTCTGAGGATGGCTTCTAGGTTTTTAACCTGGAATGTTAATGGTTTAAACTCACCACAAAAAAGGAAGAAAATATTTCACCACTTGAGACAATTTAAAAATGAAATAATATGCCTGCAGGAAACACATATAAGGACAACTGATCAAAAATATTTAATAAATACAAAATTGGGAACACATTTTGTTGCATCAGCCCCGGAAAAAAAGAATGGAATAGTGATCTACTTGAAAAGAGATTTGATGGCTAAATTAGTTGAGGCAGATCAATAAGGAAGATTCCTGGCAATTGAGATAATGATAGAAGGAAAGAAAACACTCTTATTGGGGATATATGCTCCCAACCAACAAGAGAAATTTTATAAATTGATACATACAAAATTATTACATTGGGATTATAATTCATGTATATTGATGGGAGATTGGAACGGAGTGATAGACCCTAGTATTGATAAGAAAAGAATAGTACAATCTACCAAATTGCAATCCAGACTGCCTAAGACTTTTTTTGATATGATAGAGGATATGGAATTAAGAGACATTTGGCGTGAACGGAACTATAGAGAACAAGATTTTACATTTTTTTCAGATAGACATCAATCCTTTTCAAGAATTGATTTTATATTAATTACAAATGATTTTTTTTCCAGGGTAAAGAAGATAAAGATTTGTCCCAGAATTTTAACTGATCATAGTCCAGTTTGGATGGAACTGGAGTGTGGGGAAAGAGCTAGGAGATCTTGGCGGTTAAATGAAAACCTTTTCAGATATGAGAAAAATGTAATAGAATGTAAAAAACTAATGAAGGATTTTTTTGTTTTTAATATGAACAAGGGAACATCTATGGATATGGTATGGGATGCTAGTAAAGCATATATGAGAGGAGTTTTGATAAATATGAATAATGCTTATAGGTGTAGACAAGTGGAAAAAAGGAGGGAATTAGAAGAAGAGATCAAGAAAAAAGAAAGGGTGTTAATTGATAACCCAGGGGATAAGAAAATCAAAGAAGAGATCAGTTTATTATGTGGGCAATTTAATATGATGCTCTCAGACCAAGTGGCAACCAATCTACAATATGCTAAACATAATACTTTTTGTAATGCAAATAAACCAGGTAGATGGTTGGCATACATGCTGAGGAAAAAACAAAAATCTCATACCATAGAGAAAATAGAGTATAAAGGTAAAGAGGTGTATCACCAAAATATGATTAAAAAGGCATTTTTAGAATTTTATGCAAGACTGTATACTGCAGACAAAATACAAGGTGCAGAGATAGAGACATATCTGGATAGACAGAATATTCCTATAGTTACAGAAGAACAAAGAGAACGGTTAAACCAATTAATAACAGAGGAGGAGATCCTCTCAGCAATTAAACAGTTAAAAACTGGTAAGGCTCCTGGCACGGATGGACTAACAGCTGTGTATTATAAATATTTACAACTGGAGATGGTTGTACCTCTTAAAGAATTATTTAATAGAATTCAGCTGGGTGAAGGGGTACCACCTTCATGGAAAACAGCTTTTATTTCATTAATTCCAAAAGAAGATCAAGATTTGACACATCCCAAAAATTATAGACCCATATCCTTATTGAATACAGATTATAAAATATTTGCTAAGATATTGGCAAATAGGTTAATGCTAGTAATGCAAAAAATGATTCATGCTGACCAAACTGGTTTTATACAAGGTAGCCAAATGAAAAAAAATGTAAGACAAATTGTTGACATATTGGAATATTTGGAAAGGAATAACCAAATCCCTGCGGTGCTTATATTTCTGGCTGCGGAAAAAGCTTTTGATCGATTAGATTGGCAATTTTTATTGAGAGTGGTTAATAGGATGCAATTTGGGAATTGCTTTATGCAGTCCATAAAAGCAATATATCAGGAACAGACAGCTCAGATAATTATTAATGGCAGTTTGACAGAAACTTTTAAAATTGAAAAAGGTACGAGGCAGGGATGTCCCTTATCGCCATTATTATTTATATTAACTTTGGAATTGTTGTTAAACAAAATATGTAATATAGATGAGATAAAGGACCTGGTTACTTACGGGACCGCCTACTACCGCCAACAGCCTCCCACTGACCAGTACGCTCCCACAGAGAGTGGCTCCTCCAGGTGCCGTCGGCCAAACAATGTCGGCTGTCGGCCCCTAGGGGGAGAGCCTTCTCTGTGGGGGCACCGACGATCCGGAATGAGCTCCCCCCAGAGATACGGAGGATTCCGGATCTGCGCACCTTCCGCCGCGAGTTGAA